GAAAAACTTAAATGTTTATTTAAAAGTTAGTTCATGCGTCACCGTGTGTATGTTAAGATATAAAGCATTGCAAAATTTTGCGCCTAAGAGCTGCTCGCTTCGCTCACGGAAAAAAGTATTAAGTATCGTTAATTATAGCTAGTTAAGCACAAATTAATAACAGAACACGATCTGTGCTTTTGTTAAATAGAGCTTAGAGAGAAGGTGAACGTTGGCTTATGGACAAAAAATAATTTTTCTGATGTTTTTAGTAAACTAACTACGAACAGATGTGCACCACCATAAATGTTCGTAGTCAGATCATACCTATTCCTGACGCTTTTCTAGAATGAGTATTCATCAATTGGTCCGTTGGCCTGGGACCAGGCTCCACTCGCAGATTTTTCTCCTTCGCCATCTCCCCACTGCGTAGCCTGGTCGCAGGCTATTGGTCCGTTGGCGTTGAAGCAAATGAAAAAGTTTAATTGATATAGACATGTGGCACTAGTGTAAAAGTCTCTAATATCTCTTTCGGTTTATTTTAAAAATTATTTTTCGGAAAGGATCGATCAATGATATTTTATGGCCGTTTTTGATAAAACAATTATTCTACCCGCACTTGCTGAATATGAGATGTTTGTGGCCAACGCGGCACATAGGCGCGTATTCAACGCGAGCACTTTTGGAATAATTGTTGATTATTGTGCGTAACGTACAGTTCAATGCAACATCGAATGGATTTCTGTTGAAAGCATCATGATTGTCACTCCCTTTTTCAATATTTGTACCTTCTTCATTTCAGGTACCATCTGAGTGAGTTTAAAGGTGATATGTCATGAGAATATTGCTGTTAGGTCTGTGCCTATTAATAAGTGATATAGAAAATAACCTGACATAGCCCCCTTTAACACCAAAGAGGAGCAGGTGGGCCCTCTTATAGTATACAGTGGAACCTAACGAACCTATATATAACGAAGTCCTCGGTATAACGAACGACTTTCTTTACGCCAGTAATTATAGTAAAAAATACCCAAAAGAACCTCGATATACCGAAACCTTGGTGTAGCCAACAAATTTTGCCAGTCTCTTGGCCCGTCTATATTTTATCGACGACCCAGCCGGTGAATAACGTATATCTATGATGACCTTATTATTCGCATACTGATTCTAAGTTTTACAAGACCTGAGTGAATGCCAAATTTATGCAACACGCCAAATATTTAGCAAACAAAATTCCATTTGTAGTTGATTCAACTTTGCTCTAGTAATCATGACTTGTGTGTGTATGTTTTATCCCGGCAAATTTGACCTCTTTGATCACGGTATTTTATTTGTCTTCTCTGTTACTGGTAATATTCCATTGTTTGCTCAATAATTGTGTTAAAGTTGTTGTTCCACCAACTGCTGAGATCCGACTGAATCGACAATTTGTTAAACTAAACAGGAATTTAGTTATCTAACCGAAAAAGAGCGAAGCTGTGCTTTTGAGATTAGCTGCAACAGCTAATGGTGTTCCGTTACCCAAATTTCATGTGAATTGCGATAGGGTCGACGAGTTTTAAGAGTTCTAAAAGGAGTTGATTGCAAGGATGAATTCATCTGTGAATGACTGCATTAATTGAAATGAACTAGTAGCAGAAGCATAATGTAAGAGCTGGCACAAGAATGCGGTATAAACAGTGTAGACCTTACCTTTGGTGATCTCAAATAATGTAAACCGAACGTAAATTAGTAAATAAATAAATGCGAATATATAGGAATTGTGTAACTATGAAACGCTAATTTGCAAAGGTCGAAAAACAGACAATGTAGTTCATGAATATATTTTTTTCTTTTTTTTTTTAGAATTCATTTTTTTTAAAATTGTTATTTGCATTTATTATATTGACAATATTCCTCAAAGGTTTCATCAAAAGTAGGCGTCATAAGACACCAAAGCAACGTTTATGTCGCAATATTAAACTCAGGGACAGTTGAGTGGTATCTTTTGTCAGTAACTTTAATTTTAAAACTAACACGCACACACAAAAACAAACTTGCCGCCGATAACGAGGTCCTCTGTAGAAGGAGTAGATGACTTGTCTGGGTGCCCCATGGTGCCCCATTTAAACTAACTAAACATGTTTAATTAAACCATGTTTTAAAAATGAAAACGGACTCGAAAAACAGGAACACACTGGTTTTTTTTTTTACACAGGATGCGTTTACAAAATTCAACTCGTTTTTGTAATTTGCAATAAAGGTGTCATCAACATAAGGTGCTCTTATAAAGGAAAAAAATTATACCGTGTTTGGCTAGACTGCCTTTAAACATAGATCGATCAATATAGAGAACTTTGAAAATAAAACCGATAAAACAAAGCAATTAATGGTCTATAAAGTTTAGCTTTATCTGGTAAGCTGTCTTTCCCTTAATTTTTTTTTTTTTGAAAAGCAAAGGTTGTTTTTCAGTTGGGGTCTTAAAAAAAATGTATTTCTTTTTAATTTGGTGGACCTTACTTTGAACAAGCGTCTTTTACAAATGCATAGGATAGGAGGTAATTAGCGCGTTTTCAAACGGGAAGACGAAGTTGTATCGAATCGTTATAGAAAGTTGGAAGTCAATACAAATTTGACTTTATACCATTTGCGTCATCGACAAACAGAGGCGAAAGTTCAATGTTTACTTTAAACACAACTAGTTCATTCGTCAGCGTGCGCATGTCAAGATATCAAACAAACGGGAAGTTTGGAGCGTGAGAGTTGCTCTAGTCGCAGATGGAAAGGCAAAGTTGTATCGTTATATCAAGTTAAGCACTAGTTAATACAGAATTGACTTTACAACGTCTGCGCCAATAATGGAGGCAAAAGTCGGTGAAAGATAGCTTAGGGAGAAAGTGAAAATTAGCTCAGGGAAAAATAATTTTTAAATATTTACGAACAGGTGTGCCACCATTAATGTCAATGGTAATGCAGGTCATAGTTACCCCTTGCGTTTTTAATTTATAGAAATGAATATTCGTCAATTGGTTCGTTGGCGTTGACGCAAATGCAAAAGTTTAATCGATATAGACATGCCGCGAGTGTGAAAGTCTCTAAAGTCTCTCTCCGATTGTTTTATTCATATTTATTATTCATATTTTATTCGGAAAGAATCAATTATCGATATTGTATGGCATTGGGTGTTTTTAATAAAACAATCATTCCACCCCCGCTTACGGGCGTATGAGATATAATGTGGCCAACGAGGTACGTAAGGCCTGCAGGTATCCGGCCATCGCGCGCTCTCGTGGAATAACTGTCGATTATTGTGTGTTCAGTTCAATGCAACATCAAATGGATTTCTATCAATTGATAGCATCATTATTGTCACGGCTTCCTTCTGCAATAATATTTGTACCTTCTTTATTTTAGGTGCCAGCTTAGAGAGTTTAAGTGGGCTATGTCATGAGGATGTTGCTATCCTAGGTAAAAAAAAAAAACGTGATATTGCCCCTTTAAAACCAGTACTGAGAGGGCACGCTACAGGAGCCCTCTAACAGAACAATCGTAAACGAAGTAGTTGAAAATGAATAAGACGAGACCGAAGATGTTTATGATTGTATTCAAACCATTTTATTGATAAGAAAAAAAAATATTTTATAATATTTCAGCACTATGAAGGGGGGGGGGGGGGGGGGGGGGAGGGGGGGGAAGCGGATATAGTGTGGGGGCTGCCATGTTTTTTATTTTGTGGGTTCTATATAGTAGTTGTTTTATAGTACTGTTGAAGGAATTAGAAGTCAATCATGTTGTACAGTTAGATGAAATAAAAAAATGAAAAGATTAAATTGTAAATTTATTATATTATATTAAAAATGTAGTATAATGAATAAAAATGAGTGTGATGGGGGTGTGGGGAGGGGGAGGGGGGGGGGGGGGGGAAGGCAGGGAGGGTGAAAGTTATTTAATGAGGACTTATTTAGCATTTTTAATATGGGACCATTAATTGACTTTAGATTGACAATTCAGTCGGAGAAACTATAATAATTTGTCTCAGTTTGCTGTCATTTTCTTACAATTAAAATATAATGGCACCTAAATGTTGTCAATGGTAGAATTATATATAGAACAACATGAAAGAACAGAAGATGTTTTTGTAAGCAAGAGACTCAAGAGGACAGACCTGTCGAAGAATCAGTAAGCATGGACACAACAGCAGATGTGGGATCAAATTTCAGAAGCTGCCTCTCCAGTCTGATAAGTCAAGAAGCACTAAAAATTGAGCACATGGTTGCTCTCAGCCTGATACTTGTTGTTTCATTGGTTGGAAATTCTCTCATCGTATTAATTGTTTACAAAACGCCAACTTTGAGAAAACCGATAAATATGTTGATCGCAAATATGGCCATGTCCGACCTGCTCTATCCAATATTCTGGGTTCCTGTTCGTCTAGCAGAAGGGCACGTTGGCTCGTGGCCTATTGGTGGTACCCTTGGTCAGGCCTTGTGCAAGCTATACCCTTTTCTGTCAGACGTTTCCTCGTTGGTATCGATTCAGAGCCTTCTTCTGATTACAGCGGATCGATTTGTAGCTGCTGTAGTTCCACTCCGTTCCCCTCTCATAAGTAGAAAGCTGTGTCTATTCTTCATTGTCGCTACGTGGATCGTCGCAATGGCCGTTCATTCGCCATATCTTGTTGCTTTAAAACTTGTTAAATACGCAGACCGACTGAGGTGCAAACTTCTGTGGCAGGAAGCCTTCGAAGGAAACACATATCCAAATTACCTCCTAGCATGTGCTATCGTGTTTTTCTACATTCCGTTTGTCCTCTTGGTGATACTGTACTCCATCATCCTGATCAAGCTTAAGAAACAAGCCCATCCAGGTGAACAGTCAGCCAACGCTGAGGAACAGAGGGCAAGAAGAAACAGAAACGCGCTTAAGATGGCCACTGCTATCGTGGTAGTGTTTTTCATTTGCTGGATACCCTTTCTTAGTAACGCGATAATAGACAGTTTCGGTGCACCAGACAGTCTTATTTTTTCTTCTTGTAGTTTTTATCGATACTTTAATGTCACCTTCTTTATGGCTTACGCAAACTGTGCTATTAACCCGATTATCTGCCTCACTCTTAACAGTAACTATCGCCAAGCTTTTAAGAGACTTGTGAGTTGCTGTGCCGCCCGGATGCAGTGAAATAATAATGTTTGAAGACTGAAAGCCGGGTATGAAGAGATTCATAAAAAAAAAGAAGACCCATAACTATTAACTGTTATGTAAAATAACAGCGAAATCACGAAGGAAATGCATGCGAATTATGTTTTCGGCTGCAACGTAATCTGGAGCACGCCCTAACCCTAACTCTAGGAAGAGTGGAAAATGTTGTATTGAACGCATTTGCAACGTATAATTTTGCCGAAAAACGCTGCTCGAAGCTAAGCTTGTAGAGCCGTTTTATTATTCTGTTCACTAAAACAGCTTCTGGATGGTTTGCTGCAGAACCGGCAAGACATCTAAAGAAAGCGGTATGATATTAGCAGATCGACACGCACAGACATATTTCTACCACGAACCAAGACAAGGGACTTGAGCAGAGGTGAAAGAAGAGGCCAGTTAGCCACGGTCGTCCTACATTGTGAAGACAACTGATGTGTCTGAGCTAAAGTGCCATAGAGTATACTCAGCTGAAGTGTTTAGAAAAAAAAAATCAACAGTTGCCGGTGGAAGTTAGTTGATAACAACTTGCAAAGAAAGTCTTTCAACACAGAGAGGCATTGATACTAAAGCGTTCAGCCTACCCTTAGTTGTCATCACCAGAATAACCCTGAGCACCTGCCCAGTCACGTGCACCGGTGCCATGTTATAAATATGGCGTGAACAAATATTTTTCTTTCTTTTTGCGAATAATAACTAGGGGATGTTGGAAAAATGGACTGCGTGACTGTCACGCTGTGAAAGTAAACTTTGTTCTTTTTGATCTAGTTGCTTATTGATAAGTTGTAATGACGTGATCTAAGTTTAGGATTTCGAAACCATGTGCGAGCCAATAAGGGATCTAGCGTTTGTAATCATCTTTGTAGCGTGGACATTAAATTTTGAAGTGATTCGAGCCTGTAGCTTGAAGTGATTCGAGCCTGTGATTCGAGCCTGTAGCTCGTTTTAACGTGAATATTTTTCTTTTCTCTTGTGTTAGAAGCAATAGGAAGATTCCTAACAGGGCAACTCCAAGGGAGAAAACTGTGGTATATCCTTACGCCGAGTGAGAAATTCAGTAGATTTTTCGCTGTTTGTGCGAGGAACAATTTCGGGACCGATCGTTTCTTACGTCCTAGGCGGGAGGAGGGGGGAAGGGAGGGTTTCAGAAAAGTGTGATGTATGAAAACTGTACCCCCCCTAAAATAATTTAATATGAAAATTGTACCCCCACTTGGCGACCAGAATTTTTAAAATGCACCCCCCCCTAACCCCCACCTTTCCTAGACCAAGGGTGCTTACCATTTGACAGAAAATTTCGGAAACTCCGGATGGAAGGTAAAAGGTGAGGTCACTTTTCAGAAATTCCAACCGAAAATTGAGGAGTACGTTTTGAGGTAGTCCGTTCATTCCGGTTCGTACAAACCAAACATAATGTTGCTTACCATTAACCAATTTCTCGTTTCCCTCTTGGTTCCAGACTCACGCTACACAAATTCGCCCTTTTTTTGGATTCAAACTGTAACGGATGTTGCAATTCTGCGGTAAATAACTGGTATATCGCTTACAATTATGCTTTCGACTCCCTGAACGGATTTTTCTGTCAAATGGTAAGCACCCCAAGTTTTAAGATGACTCGATTTTGTCCTCCTTCTTTGGATATTGACTTCATATTCAAGCTAGATGGGGTTCTGGTAGTCTGGTTAGGTAAAAATAGTTGATAGGGTCCTGGGACAAGCTTGGTTACATAGCATTCAAAATGGCGGCTACAAAATCAAGTAAAGATGCACGTCAGGTGGGGCTCAGCAGCTGGCATGAAAAACGGTGTGAAGTCCGAGAAAAGTCAACGAAGGAAAAGTATTTTGGATCTTCACTCCAGTGTCTTGATAATAATGAAATTTTGTTATTGCTGGAGTCTATTCTGCAGAGGTCAAAGCAAGGGACACAGACGAATTGTACAGTTCGAGGTCTGAGAGCAGTGCAAGAACATCTGATGCATGGATATGGATACTTACATTTAGAAGAAGCCTACAATCTATATTCTTCATTCAGTGAATTTTCCTATCCAAATAAACAAGCATTCAGAGATAAATTACTTGATCCTCATCACAGTTTGCCTGTCTACAAAGAGTCGTCAGCGCGACTTTTTGGTTTAGTAAGGAAGGAAAATTGTTTTTTTGGTTTCAATTATGACATGTTTTAACAACTACAACATATAATGTTAATCCTGTGTCTTAAAATTTCGACCCCCTCACACTTTGTTCATTTTCAAAAATAACCCACCAACCATTACCCTCTTTAACAATTTTATTTTTCAAAACCAAAACCCCTCATCTACCAGTCATCCAACCCTGCAGCCTACCACAGCACACACTGTACCGTCTCCTGTTCTCACTCCTTCCCTTCCACCTTGCCTCCCTCACTGCACTACTCCTAGTTTCCCCCTCGGGACGTAATCAACGATCGGTCCCTTAAAGAGTTTTTCCTCTGTTTCAGCTGTAGCCTTTTCTACGGAATGCTTCATTTCCCTCGTTTATATGTTGCCTATCGTCACCGACGAAGCCCACCATGTTTTAATTTGTTATTGTGTAAACTTGCTGACATTAAGAAATGAGCTCATTATTCAGTTTTATTCCAAATATTCTGCTCCCCTGATCTGTATTTGGAATATGTTCCACTTAGCTTAGAACTGGAATAACAGGTTAATCGAACGGATATTCCGGATCTTTCACATGTATTCCTATTGAGCTCAAACCAAGTTAGAATCGCATCGTGTTTCGGTTATTTCTTAGAGCATTAGAGACGTGTGAAACGACCTTTGTTGAAAGAGACGTGCCACTATAATGTTAATAGTTGGATCATAATTATCCGCTTTGCGCATAAATGGCATGAAGACTAGAGAGACGTGTATCTCGTTGTTTAACATTCTGCCGAAAAATGACTTCAGCTTTCTTAGGCATTAAGCCATAACGACCTTATATCTTCTATTGCATTGTGATTCTGAGATGTGAAAGACGAATAAATTTCAAATTTATACAACACGTCAAAGGTTCAGTGAACAAAATTCCATTTGTTTAGTCACTGGCATGAGCTTTGCTCTAGTATTTATGACCTGTGTGTATACGTTATATCGCGGAAAATATGACCTCTTTGTCACGGTATTTTATTAATTTGTCTTCTCTATTATTGCAAAAGCCTATTGAGGGCTCAATGATTTTGCGAAAGTTGTTTTTCCACTACCGCAGATCAGTTTAGTTTTTTTTTTTCTTAAAAAAACTAAAAACACATTTAGTTGTCTAATTGAAAAAGAAGGAAGCTGCATATTGCACAGTAATTTTCCAGGAGTTATAATAACTCCTCTAGTGGGGCTAATTTAACTCCTTACAGTGGAGTTTTTTTTTGGGGAGTTATTTTAACTCCAAAAAGGAGTTTAAAGAACTCTTTTTCAGGTGTAAAAGTGACCCCAGATATCGAGGAGTTAAAGTGACCCCAAAAAAGGAGTTATCCTGTACCTAAAATTTTTACTCCACTTTCAGTGAGTTAAATTAACTCCAAAAAGGGTAAAAACAACCCATGTAAGGAGTAAAAGTAACCCCATTTCGGAGTTGTTTTAACTCCAGACTGGGAGTAAAAAGAACTCTTTTTCAGGAGTAAAAATGACCCCAAAAAGGGGGTTATCCTGTACCTAAAATTTTTACTCCATTTTTGGAGTTATAATGACTCCCTAAAAATTACGGTGTGAGGACAGCTGGCTTATGGTGTCTCGTTTCCCAAGTTTTATGCGAAATATAGGGTCGACGATTTTATAGAGCTCCAAGGGAATTGATTGCAAGGGCAAATTCTGCAGTTGTTAACTATATTTATTGAATTGGAATAATAGCAGAAAGCATAATGTAAGCCAAGTCAATGCAGTATGAACAGTGTATACCTTCCTTTCTGTGATCTTAGATAATCAGTGTAAACCGAAAAGAAATAAATAACAATTATTCACCGAAGTGGAGGTGGCTAGTGGTGACGTGAATAATTGTTTTAGTATATACTAAAACAGTGAGATAATTGAGGACAAAAATGATGATTATAATTTTAACTCATTTACTGTTGTCAACGTTTACAATTTTGGCGCGCAATGACCGAACGGCCGCGGTCGTCGCAGTCGTCGCTTTTTCTTGCCAACAAATAAAACTTTTGAAGGTATTTGTTTAGCTCTTGGGGGGAAATTTCTTCAAAAGGAGTTGTAAATTCTTTTTGTATTGAAAATCATTCTGTAAAAAAGATTATTAAATTTGATTTTAAGCTTATTCATGAACAAGCCAACTAAATAAAGTAACGCAAGACTTATAAAAAGCTTAATTTGCATATGTAAACAAAGACTTTTTCACCGGTGTTATCGATAAATTCAAGTCAAAAAGACAAAGCTTTACCTGTTTAACTTCCAACCCTGTTTAACTTCGTCACCTTCTTCGAGTATTTCGGGAACAGCTTGCTTGATTAGTTGTGAAATTTCTTTGTTTGTTACGGCAGCAAACCGGAAAGACATTTTGCTTGCAACTTACGCTACTTTGGCGTCGCTCGCTCCGAGGAACTGGAGGTGAATCAGTGAATAGTGAACAATTATTCCTCGAGCCCGAATGGGTTCTGAGTCAATAGCCCATGAGGCCGAAGGCCGAATGCGCTATTGACTAAGGGGCCATGAGGGCGAGAGGAATAATTGTTTTAGTAAAATCCAACTAGTTGGTCAAAAATAGGATATTCACTGATTGAGTAGCCAATCAGAGCGCGCGAAAAACACTATCCACTGTTTTAGTTTATACTGAATGCAAATATAAGAAAAGAACGGGGCGAGAGAGCCCCTGGGATACTACTCTTAACGAACCAGTTCCACGACTTATTCGAATGGTTGTCTGTGATTGAGCAAAAAAATATTTTTGTGTCTAATCAGGAGCCAGCATGTATTGTGCTGCCTTCGTGATCTTCTTATACGAAAGAGTTTACTTGCAAACTCGACTGTTTCCTCTACGCCCCTGAAAAAATCAGTCTGTCAGTCAGTCAGTCTTCAGTGAATTCAAAATGAGCCCCCCCCTTTTTTTAAACAACAACAAATTTTATTGAAAATTGAAAAATAACTAATTACATTACTTTCCCACCCGCAAATAGCTTATAGACTAATCGAGGCAGGGGGAGCTGAAGACGTATTACAAAACAAGAGTTATATATAGATGGACTAAATAACAGTGAAGACACTACTATACAGTAAATAGAATTTAAACTAACATAAAACAAGGCAAGTACATAACGATTATGAAGAGAGACTAACCTAAAGTATTAAATAACTTAATAAGACGGAAGACTTCGACATAATTATCTTCTGACCGCAAGAATGTTAGTAATAATTCCTTTATTTTTTTAACGAAAGGACGAGCGTTTAAGTATTTTAATCGAATAAGGAATAGAGTTCCAAATTTGGGCACCGATTCTCGTGAAAAAGGAATACATTTTATCGGTTCTAGAGAACTTAACATAAAACGAGTCGCTAGAGACAGATCTTGTTCTGTAGTTATGAATCTGACTTGTTTTAACGAACTGATAGAGTATACTAACTGGCGATGTCTGTCTGTTGCTATCATACAATAAATAGCTACAATCTCTGAAAAACAGGTTAGGTAGGGGAAGGCAATTTGATTTGAGAAAGAAGGGTACGGTGTGTTCCTTAGACTTACTGAAGTAAATGAGACGTAAGGCCCGTTTTTGACGAGTTAAAATCTTTTTTTGAAATGTCAAGGCACAGTTTCCCTTACTACAAATACCATAAGTCAAGTAAGGGATAATTAATGAGTTGTAAACTGAAAGTAAAACACGACGCGGGACATGATGTCGAATCTAAGCTATAATTCCTATTGACTTGCTGATTTTGTGACAGATAGATTCGATGTGGTATTTCCATGAAAGATTTGAATCAATCATTAAGCCAAGATATTTTACATAATCTTTTATATAATCTTTCTTTTCAAGGTTTGCGTAGGTGTTAGTCACGGAGTCAAGAATTCTAATGCTAGGTATGAAGGGCATATTCTTTTGCCGGGGACGAAAGATTACAAAGTTTGATTTTTTTATGTTCAAAGACAGTTTGTTGGTCTTTACCCATTCGTTGACGTTGCCAAGCTCGCGATTAACAAGTGTCTCGAGTTCCGTTTAAGTTGTTATTTGCAAGTATTATACTAGTATCGTCAGCAAATAGAAAAAAGGCAAATAACGAAGAGGACTTGTAAATATCATTGATGTACAGTAGGAATAAGAGTGGTCCGAGGACTGAGCCTTGTGGCGCGCCGCACAAGGTCGTCTCAGCCTCAGACACAACATTAATATTAACTTCCGTAGTTTGCTTTCGATCAGTTAGGTAAGATCTGAACCAGGAGTTGATTACACCTGTAATACCATAATTTTCAAGTTTAGCTACCAAAATCTCATGGTTAACAGTATCAAATGCCTTCTTGAGATCGATGAAAACACCGCACGAAAATTTACCGTTGTCCATATTTTGGAGAATTGTGTTAACAATATCAAGTATAGCATGCTGAATACTGTGCTTACTGCGAAAACCGTATTGTTGATCATAGAGAATGTTGCAATCTTGACAAACCTGGTAACTCTGGAGTACATAAGTTTTTCAAAAATCCTGTTATAAATCGAGAGCAGAGAAATAGGTCGGTAGTTTTCGGGCAGAGTGTCATCTTCGTCCTTAAATATCGGGATAATCTTAGCACACTTTAGTTTAGATGGAAAAATCCCTGAGCAAATAGACTGATTAAAGATCGTGGCTAGAGGTACGGATATGACCATTTTTGCCAATTTTAGCAGCCTAACTGGAGATGAGTAGAGACCATGGGCCTTGTTGTCTTGCAAAATTTAAATTTTAAAATTGATATCTTCCGGAATAATAGGATCAAAAAAGAAAGTGCGATTAAGTGGCGGATCTAAATAATCAAAGAATGTATTTATGGTCTGAGGAATTTTAGAAGCCAGTTTGCTCCCAAAAGTGGCGAAATATTTGTTAAGAATATTGCTTATCATGTTCCTTCGGGTCACTAGTTGGAACCTCATTCGGCTTTGAGCGAATAGTTTGAGCGGGTTTTGCGCTTGTTTTTCCTTTTACAGTTTCCAATTAGCTCGTTAATTCCTTTCCAAGTTTGACGCATACTACGTATGTTGAGATCAAAGGAACTTTGGTAGTAGTTCGCTTTACTTAATCTCGTAAGAGAGATGATTTTATTTCTGTGAAATTTGTATTTGTCCCGGTCTGAGGTATAGAAGAGATTATTCTTTACCCTGATTGATTTTCTTAAACCTGCAGTCGGCCATGGTTTAGCAAGGAATTTTTGTTTACGATTGGATATACTTCTTAAAGGGGCTTGTTTGTTAATTGTCTTGTTGACGCATTTGTAAAACGTGATTGGCATCGGTATGTTTGCAAATATTATTCCAATTAATATTCTGCAAGTCGTCAATGAAAGATTTTGGATTGAAAGTAGAGTAGTCACGAACCTTAGTTTTGTTGTTTGGAAAGAATGTTTTACAGTTCGACGTTAATATGCACATCTGAGAGAAGTGATCTGTTGTATCGGACACGATATTGCCGCTGACTATATTATTCTCAGGATTATTTATGAAAATATTGTCCATTAAAGTTGCTGAATTACCATAAACTCTAGTCGGCTTATCAACCACTGAAAAAAAACTTTACATTGTTTGCAGCATGGTTTGTGTGTAACAGATCTATGTTGAGTCTCCCATGAGATGAATATTTTGATTTTGACGGCATTGGCTTTCAAGAAAATCTGTCAAGTATTCTAGAAACTCATTAGCGTTATTGTGTTGCCTATAAGTAACACGACATACAGATTTCTTATTGTTAGGCCCTAAAGTCTACTCTACCAGTTTCATCCGATCCTCTTGTATCACTGAGTAGAAACATTTAACAACAAATTTACAGACATTAAAGGGCGAAAAAATGTCTCCTGCACGTGCCTGTATGACAATTAAGTATGCCGAGCAGGCGTAAACATGAACAAGCCTAGAAGTACTTAGACTGCAACACAGTCCGTATTTTTGCGTATTCAAGTACGCGCGAGCAGTCAAACAAAAGGTCTGGAACGAGACTGAAAACAGGGAGCGAGACTGGAGAGAGAGGCTTTGTCTCTCTCGCCTCAGACGCCCTACGGGCGTGTGAGGCTCGCACGCTTCGCGCGCGTAAGACTCTTACGCCACACTTTACCGATTTCTTTACTGATTTTAAGAAAAAAAAAAAAACGACTGTTTTGCAGTCTAAGAAGAACTCTGGTTTACGAATTTACCTTAGATCAGTCCACAGGCTGATTTCTTCAATTGTTGAATTTTTCGTTTTGTTATTCATTTTTTATTATTCATTTTCATATCAAGTAGTATCAAGAGAGGATTAAGGGGACAGAGAAGGCATCCCCAATACACATCCTATTCCATAGGTAATTCGTCTCGAGTTAATTTTAAGACCCCAGATCCCAAGGGGGATTTGGACAACAGCCAATCACATAGCGCGAATGTGTTCCGCGTGGATGACCCACGCTCAGAGCCACCCGTCCTTCACGAATTGACGCAGCAAAAAATGGCGGAAGACGCGGAGAGCGATATTGCTATTCGTTTTGTCGACGAAAACGACTAAAGAGAGATTTCTACTAAAGCGGTGTCAGGAAAATGGAAATTAGAAAAGAATCGCCCTTCCTCTCTTGTATAGAGCTAACAGTACAGCAGAGAAATCCTTAACACACTGAATATTCTCTCAGGATCATTTATAATTTACAGTTTGAAGAGAGCAATTTCTGGTTTTATATTTATTCTTTTATTAGTCTTTTATCATTCAACAAAAATAACACTTGGCGTCCTACTTGCTTTAATGTACAAACGACCGGTTTCAATAGACCGGCGAAATTTCTCATTTTATTAAAGCACTGAGGTTACGACAACTTCGAGTTAAAATCATTTCACGGATTGTCAAAGAGTCCAGCGATTCCCTTTTCCCAGGTAAGCGCCGACTCATTTCGCTTCAATTTTCAGAAATGCTCTCGATCTCTTTACGCTTTCATTGTCTTTGGCCCGACATATTGTGCACGGCGTTTAGTCATGCGAAACCTCCACGAAACATTCACGCAGCGCGCGAGGTAATTTTATTCCGATTCTAAAAATAACTCGAGACGAATAATATTACCTATGGAATAGGGTGTGTATGGGGGATGCCTTCTCTGTCTCCTTTATCCTCTCTTGGTTTTATGGAATTGATGCCTGCATAATAAATGTATGAGCTTACAAGGAAATTTTACCAATTATGGCTTTTCAGTGGGGCCCATTTTCAATGAAATCTCTTCTCCAAGAAAGCTCTCTTGCACGAGCCAAACATGCACGGCCAACAGTCGAGTTTGCAGGTGAACATTACAAGCCTCAGCGTCCCGGAAGTTAAAAAAATGCGGCGCGTCTGGTTGACGTAATCATCCAGTTGAGTATCTGTCATCGTAACACTTTTGCAGAGCTCGGGAAGTACTTTAGGGACGGACCACTAGAAAAGTTATGCGGTAGGTTTCTAATGGTCCGTCCCTTAATTAAAATCGTGTTAAAACCACTGTGGAGGAAGTCTGTTTATAATTGTGTCGATAAATGCACTTCTGACTTTCATGAGGTTCAATTTTGAATGAATTATCAAAAATTTTGTTAAGCGGGAAGTCTACCTACGGTTCCCGGTAAAAGGAACTTTTATAGTGGCGCAACACAAATGTTTCGAGAGTGGAGTATGTGCTTACAAACCATTCACTATATCTATGCGACTAAAGGAGGGTATAGGGTATATAACACGTTTAGCATTTCGCCATATATCCTTTCTGGTTCATCTAGGTAGAAGTCCTGGCATATAATTATGCCTGAGCGCTTCTAGGATATAAAAAATGTTTAGCATTTCGACCCGTAGCCGAAAAAAAAAATTAAGCAGTTGTTCTATATCCTTTCTGGTTCATCCAGGTAGAAGTCCTTGCATGATATTATTATGCCTGATTGCTTCTAGGATATATAACACGTTAAGCATTTCCTATCACACTTTCATCCTCGTCGATAAAACAACAGGTCATAGTCAATTTAGAGGCCGCTTTGAATTGATACGATCTCATTTGCATTTCTACGAATTGTAGAGTGGCTGAATATTAGCTTGAAGAGTGCTTTGAACTGTAGTACATGTTTAATCAACATAAACGAGAACTGATCTAAAACCTGAAGGAGAAGTTTGTATTTCTAAATTTTTTCACATCAATTTAGGGGCCGACCATTTGACTTATCAGGGAGAAAAAAGGGGGGATTAAAAAAAGAATGCAGACTCTGTATGTCAGGGAAAAAGAAAAAAAATCTATCACCAGAAGTTCGGGGCAACATATTCTTACACAAACCAAATTACCTATACCCCTCTCCCCCCCACATGCCACCTCCAAGGTCAGCTGCTGGCTGGCCACATAGTCAGCACAAAACCAAAAACAAATAAGTTAAACAAGGAAAAAAATTAAAAAACGTCAAATTTTCTTTGAAATTAGGTTTGCAAAAACTGTAATTGAATTCAACTGTTGACCCGGCGGACATTTTGTGCTGTTGTCATCTTGGTAAAAATTTTGCGTTTCGGATAAGATACACCGAAAGAGGTTCGTACAGTTTCTAGATATTATATTTGAATGGATTACGTGAAATAGGATTGTCTTGTCCTTTCGGGTATTGTATCATTTTTAGTGTATTTACAGTGTTTCAAAAATTGTTTATTTCAATATATATATATTTCTTATTTCTTGCTTACACATATTTTCTATAGAACCAGCCAAGTTTAGACAAATTCGAAAATAGTATAGGGAATGTTGCTGGCTAACACCTGCCCATACAATGCACTCTCGCTTTATTAACTTGCTTTATTACATCAGTATAAAAACGTTCACCGGATTAATCGAAATTCGATATTTACTTTAGAACATAGAATGTTATGAAAACGGTTGCAGTTTTATGGAGTTTGTGTCATTTTCATGATAGAGAATCGGAAAGGATATATTTTAGTAGACATCAAATTCCAGAATATGTAAATATAAGAGGGAGGATCAGAATGATATGATATTGCTATTATACTGAAGGCGAAACGGGGTATAATATGTGGTGCGCACTTTCAAAAGTACATTCACTTATTATTCCGCACTTAAAGGGGTCATAAAAGTGTACAGTTAAATGGGTATTAAAGTGAACACTTTACGGAGTCTTAAAGTAAACACTTTAAGGAGTCTTAAAGGGAACACTTTAAGAAGTCCTAAAGTGAACACTTTAAGGAGTCTTATAAAGAAACCACTTTAAGGGGTCTTACAGTGTTCACTTTAAGAAGTCCTAAAGTGAACACTTTAAGGAGTCTTAAAGTAAACACTTTAAGGAGTCTTATAAAGAAAACACTTTAAGGGGTCTTACAGTATTCACTTTAAGAAGTCCTAAAGTGAACACTTTAAGGAGTCTTAAAGTAAACACTTTAAGGAGTCTTAAAGTAAACACTTTATGGGGTCTTATACAGTGTTCACTTTAAGAAAGTCTTAAAGTGAACACTTTAGGGAGTCTTATAAAAGGACCACTTTAAGGAGTCCTAAAGTGAACACTTTGAGGAGTCTTAAAGGGAACACTTTAAGGGGTCTTACAGTGTACACTTTAAGAACTCCTAAAGTGAACACTTTAAGGAGTCTTACAAAGGGACCTCTTTAAGGGATCTTACAGTGTTCACTTTAAGAAGTCCTAAAGTGAACACTTTGAGGAGTCTCAAAGGGAACACTTTAAGGGGTCTTACAGTGTTCACTTTAAGAAGTCCTAAAGTGAACACTTTAAGGAGTCTTAAAGGGACCATTTTAAGGATTAAGTTATATAGGACAATTTTATATAATTTTAATTGTAAGATTTATATAAGGGACTTTGCCCAGCATCTTAGAAAGATCCGTAAAAAGTACGATAGGAGATAGAAGCGGGTACTTTGAAACCTAACTCAAGGACTGAGCAGGTAGTTCCGGCCACACAAACGATCCAAGACAATGATTTCAGCAGAACTGAAAGAAGGTCAGTGAGCCGCGGTCCTACACTGTAAACTGAAAAACTGATGGGCCTACATTCAGCTGTAGGCCTTAATATATAACTGAAACACATTATATAGCAATTCTAATGAAATAAAATACTTCGGGACGTTTTTGAAGATGTTGAAAGCACTGCTCACACCTGACGTTTTATCACTGCTCATTACTTAGCTTTTAAACATGTTTCTAGTTACAAATAAAAAGACAAACTTTTTAAAGAAATTGCAGTTGTCGTAAAGTTATAAAGAGAAAGCGTTTAATAAGCGAGGTAAATGTAGGATTCCTATAAAGTATTCGCCATTCCAAAGCGAAGACGGCTAAGAAGTCGGACAGAAAGAAAACATGATTTTAGAAGGATCAAACTACTATGCTTTTTTCCCTTGAATACTTTTTATGTTCCATTCTGCTTTGCAGCGTTTGATTTTTTCGAGGAGTGTGGTTTAAAATCCTATTTGAATTTAATCAAGGTTGATTATGATTATGATGGCGTGCAATTTGCGTTTGTTTATTCATTCCGGCTTCACCATCGCCGAAGAGAAAGCACATATATGCTTTAAAATATTTGATATAGATCAACTCATTCTTGTACTAACATTCAGATTTGGAGATGTTTTGGTGTAAAACATTTAGTGGCGTCCGTTTCTTTATCAGATATAAAGACACACTAAACATTAATTTCTTTTGTTTTTAAGTTTATGGATTATTGATGAGTTTTTTTGAAAACATCATTGTCACTGCCTTATGCAATATTTGTACTAACTTTATTTTAGGTAACATTTAAGATAGCTTAAAGGGGTATGCCATGAAGGTATTGCAATATTGCTGTTTTACGTCAATTCTGTGCTTACGTCATCAGGAGATAACGTCAAACAGTCCCTTTAAAACCAATACTGGAGGGTCAGGTGGGCCCTGTATCAAACAATCATGAAACTAAGTAGATGAAATTAATAATATGAGACCCACTGATGCACGTAAATAAGACGAAATTTGTAAGGAACAGTTCTCTTGGATATTATCACGTACTATGGAGCATTATTACGTTTTATGTAGCAGGCTTTTTGATAACATTGTCAGTGATCCAAACCATAAATTGAAGGCGCTCCTTCCATCAGAATATGACAACTCACGCTATAACCTAAGACGACAGCGCCTTTTTAATATGCCAAAGCTTTGCACGAACAGAACAGTAATACTTTTATACATGCGATGTCGAAACAGTCCGGGCTGTAGTTTTATCCCACTTCTATTCATGCTTTATATTTCAACATATTTTAATATGAACACGTTATATAGAATTTTTAATATTATCTTAAAAATCTGTTTTCGACTTATTATCTAGGATTTGTAATTTTCAAGTATCTATCTATCTATCTATCTACTTATCTATTGCATGACCAGTATTGGGAAAACAAAACAAACAAGCTAAAGAGGTCTATTATCGACACTTATCGACACTTAGGAGTATTTATTCACCGTTTTGATAGAGGTGGACCTTTTAAATTTGAATTCACAATATATACAAAATTGATTAATCGTATTGGAAGAACTATAGCTTTCATTTACTTACATAATAATTTGCCTCAGTTTGCTGATCAATATCAGGATACAAAGTTATTAGGTAAAGCCCTGCAGGTGGCAGAAAGTACAGTTGTTTGAAACACAACAGTAAATGGATTAAGTTCCTGTAGCTGCTCCAGTCTGATAAATCCAGAAGTAACGAACAAAACTCGGAGCAACAGTTACTTTTATTTTGAGCTTCGTTTTCGCTCTGGTTGGAAATTCCCTTGTTGTATTAATTGCTTACAAAACGCCAAGGAGTCAGTGAGCATGATCACAGCAGCAAATGGATCAAGTTATTGGAGCTGCTCCAGTTTAATAACTCCAGAAGCAGTAAAAATTGGAGTAACAGTTGCTTACAGTTTTATCCTTTGTGCTTCGTTGGTTGGAAATTTTCTCATCGTATTAATTGTTTACAAAACACCAACTTTGAGAAAACCGATAAATATGTTGATCGCAAACATGGCCATGTCCGACCTGCTCTTTCCAATATTCCTGTTCCCCCTTCGACTTGCAGAGTTTCACGTTGGCTCGTGGATTATTGGTGGTGCCCTTGGCCAAGCTTTATGCAAGCTACACATCTTTCTTGCGAATGTTTCTGGGGTAGTCTCCATTCAGAGCCTGGTTCTGATAGCAGTGGATCGATTTAGAGCTGTTGTAGTTCCACTCCGCTCTCGTCTCATAACTAGAAAGCTGTGTCCATTCTTTATTATCGCTACGTGGATCACCGCAATGGCCGTTTTTTCGCCACTTCTTGTTGCAAATAAACTTGTTAAATACCGAGAACGACTGATGTGCGTACGTCTGTGGATGGATTTCTTTGGAGGAAGCACATTTGCAAATTACTTCCTAGCAGTTGCAGTCGTGTTTCTCTGTATCCCCTTTGTCCTCGTGATGATACTTTACTCTATCATCTTGATGAAGCTTAAAATGCAAGCTCATCCAGGTGAACAGTCAGCCAACGCTGAAGAAAAGCGCGCCAGAAGAAACAGAAATGTGCTTAAGATAGCTACAGCCATCGTTGTAGTGTTTTTCATTTTCTGGATACCCTATTTCAGTAGCGCGGTGATAGTTAATTTTAGTGCACCGGGCAGTTCCATCTCGTTTTCCTGTAGTTTTTATCTGTTCTACATTGTCACCAATTACATGATTTACGCAAACTGTGCTATCAACCCGATCATCTGCCTCACTTTTAGCAGTAATTATCTCCAAGCACTTAAGAGACTTGTGAATCGCTGTGATACAGTGCAAGATTAACTTCTGAAAACTAACAGCTGGGTCTTAAGCGTTTCGTGCAAAAAAANAAGCTTAAAATGCAAGCTCATCCAGGTGAACAGTCAGCCAACGCTGAAGAAAAGCGCGCCAGAAGAAACAGAAATGTGCTTAAGATAGCTACAGCCATCGTTGTAGTGTTTTTCATTTTCTGGATACCCTATTTCAGTAGCGCGGTGATAGTTAATTTTAGTGCACCGGGCAGTTCCATCTCGTTTTCCTGTAGTTTTTATCTGTTCTACATTGTCACCAATTACATGATTTACGCAAACTGTGCTATCAACCCGATCATCTGCCTCACTTTTAGCAGTAATTATCTCCAAGCACTTAAGAGACTTGTGAATCGCTGTGATACAGTGCAAGATTAACTTCTGAAAACTAACAGCTGGGTCTTAAGCGTTTCGTGCAAAAAAAGAAAAATGATAATAATAATAATAATAATAATAATAATAATAATAATAATAATGATAACAATAATAATAATAATAATAATAATGGTAATAAGGATTAAAAACTTCACCATAAAATAATGACGGAGATGATGATGATGATTATAATTGTTATTATCTTTAATGTAAATTAAGGCTTAAGACACCCCTACAAAAACCGCGAACGAACAATGTTGCTCAACGTTGGATCAAACAAGGTCGTTAAATCAGTCCAAAAAGATAAAAATAGAATTAAATTTAAAAAGATTACTGCAAAGACTGATCAAACAACGTGAAAAAGGCTAAGGTATACAATATTTCGACTGGCCAATACCAGTCTTCATCAGGTTTATTAGGAAGAAACGGGAATACACAGAATATATGTTGCTGTAAAATAATAAACGGAAGTTACATGGTATGACCGGTGCTAAGGTGTACGGATGGCTAACTCTTGGATTACTTTTTTAAAGAATGAAAGCTTAAATAATGACCTTACGATTAGTCTACCGGTATCATATAAGTCTGCCTTTTGTTGTCTGATCAGTTTGAAGTAGTCTTTTTTTACTTTAATCAATGTTGGAAGTGAAGTGCGGCCCCATGTAGAAAGATCATGGGGTTGGAACGGTAGGATATCACATGGTCTTCGAGGCTGTAAGATTTTTGTCTCGTCACGAAAAGCTAGGAGCGTTGAGTGAAACCAGACAAAGGGGAGACTATGATGAATAAAATACAATATGGACGATCTTGAAGTTAAGTAGCTTGTTATAGTATCTTCAGCTTTATCTTGATGTGTGGCTATAATTCGGAACCTGCTTCTACTTAGAATTAGTTTCAAATAAAAACATAATGCAAGCAATGAATTCCCAAAAATTTTAATCAATAACAACAAACATTAATATCTATCTCACTAACATATTATCCGTATTTTTTTTAAATAATCGCTGTATAATGAAAGATTGAATATTATTAATGCATACTCCAATATCGGTTTGGATTGTTATTGACAAATACACAATAAAGACATATTAAAAAAAAAAACTTTTAGAAAGCATCTCCGATTTAGCGAATTGTCACTGAATTGTACACATTCGTTTCTGTTGAATTCATTCTTTTACTTCATGAGATCAATACAAATACGTATTTGAAATGAACAGGAAAACCTAAATTCCGTTTGCGCAACCTCGGTAAGCAAATCGCTTGGTTTATTTGCCTCTTTGCCGGGGCATATTATGACCTCAATAGTAAAAATTCAGCTTGTTCGCCTCGTTGCTCCATTGACATCGTTTAATAGAAAAAGCAGTAAACTACAACAGGACGGTTATCCACTAAAAACGATTCTGCTGAGATGATTGTTTATGGACGCTTTGAACTAATTGTCTCCTCGTGACAAGATTTCATCGATTGTGTTCCTGATCCACAACGATCCGCAGCTGATAACTCGTTGGGCTCATGGAACGACAGTGTTGCGAAAAATGAAAGAACATTGTCTGTCCCTCGAATCCTCACTTAAACGTTCGCTACCTTTCAAAAATACTTAACTTAACAACTGACATGAGATGCAAATGAGTAACTTACCGGCTGAGTCACAGAAAATATCAAACTGCCCCTCGCACTCGCGTCCGACTCTCGAATTCAACCTCATGCATGCCAACCTCATACGCAACATTAACTACTGTCTAAACAGTTCACTTTGCTGCATTGGGTGCTACGCGGCGGGGACTGGGAACTGGTAAAACAGCGAAACAAACTTGCAAACTTCTAAACAAACTTCCCTACAAATGGAGTTCTCAGACGCCTTCAAGACAAAAATAGGTAGCTGCCCTATGCGGGCAGCAATAATTATTATCTTGTTTACTCTTGCGTCTAAAAATCTTGGTAAGCTGTAAACCAAGCTTCTTAAAGAACAGGTTCCATTTTTTTTGTTGATAAAAAGTTGTGCAAATATATGACAATAAAAGAGCTTCAATACGCAAGTAAAGAGAAAAAGAGTGTCGGACAAAAATTCAAATGAAACACCATACAGAAACGCGCTCATTGATACTTGCCGATTGTGACAATGCAAATAAGTGAAAAATGACGTAGAGAGAGTGTCAATCAAGAAATTCCCAGGGTATTGTTGGTTTTCACATGAGGTCACTAAAATTCAAACTAAAAAACTATCGATCCTAGCGAGATTTTACTTTCACGATGCATTAGAGCAGCTGAAAACTAATTTTCATACAAATTTTCGCTTCGAAAGGGTTCTTGGTTTTGTAATAGAGTACGCTTGAATTTCTAAGCTTTTGCGTGACGCAGCATTTACATGACGGCCAAGAGAGCTGTCGTGTACATGTAGTAAAAAAAAAAAGAAAAGACTTTTTTCAGGAAATTTTGCTATCTAAACAGTTCATGTATCACTTTAATGTTTATGAGTTTCTCGAAGAATAAATTCACGCTTTTGTAGCAATTCGGTCGAACGAATTAGCTTGTAACGCATTTGTTTTTAAATGCTCTAAAGTTAGTCTTCGATGATTGTTGTTGATTTTGCCATGGATGTTTCAACAGGCTGATTTCAACCGATTTTTAAACTTTTACAAACTTTTATGTTGTTCGAATCGTACTTCAATTGGATAATGCTTTTGCATAAACATTTCTGAGCAACATTTTTTATTTTTTTGCAGCTTTTGTTGCTTAACTTCACTCAATCAACACATTTTAAAAAACAAATACGCATTATTCAGCAAGTCCAATTATCAAACCAACCTTTTTTGATTTAGCTGTACATTAAACCATTATTTAAACTGTAGATGTTTTTCAGTGGAAGCATGTCTCTAGATAACACAACTGGCGAGAAGTCAGTAAGCATGAACACAACAGTAAATGGATCAAGTTCCTCACAGGAGCTGATCCAGTCCGATAAATCCAGAAGCAGGAAAAATTGGACTAACAGTTGCACTTTGATCCTTGCTGTTTCACTAATTGGAAATTTCCTCATCGTATATTACTTGTTTACAAAACACCAAAATTTAAGGCCTGTTTCAAACGTCGCACTACTGCCGCGCTAAGCTGGCTCGACTGTAGCTGCGGCTGCAGCATGAAACTAGCACCACATGGATTCAGACGACGAATTTAATTCAGTCGAATAGAACGGCTGCTCCTGAAAACAAAACACAAAAATAAAGAAACGATTTGGCAAACTTTTAAATGTATTCTAATGTATTCATACTGATTTATGAATTGAGTTCGGCACGGCAGTAGCCGACTTGGTTTCAGACGTCGCGCTACTGCCGTGCTAAAGTCGAATTTAATTCGATCAATATAGTTGGGCACGGCAGTAGCACGACTTCTGAAAGGGGCCTATGAAAACCGATATATATGTTGATCCCAAACATGGCCATGTCCGACCTGCTCTATCTAACATTCCTGTTCCCTGTCCTATTGGCAGAGATGCACGTTGGCTTGTGGCTCATTGGTGGTACCCTTGGTCAAGCCTTATGCAAGCTACATGTCTTTCTTGCAGATTGTTCTGTGTTAGTATCGATTCAGAGCCTGGTTCTGATAGCAGTGGATAGCAGTGGATCTTCTAGTTCCACTTAGATCCTCTGTGGTCACTAGGAGAGTACTAAGAACTCTCAGTTGTCGTAATGTTGTAAAAAGAAAGCTTTAAGCGAGGTGTATGTATGTTTTCTAGTATTCGCCATTTCAAACGCGAAGCCAGCTAAGAAATCAAGAACATGAGTTTAGAAGGATCAAACTACTTGAATAATTTACATGTTTCATTGTGCTATTGCGGCTTTTGATTATTAGTGTGCTTCAAAATTCCGATTGAATTAAATCAGGGTGGCCTTATGATTAATGATGGCGTGTAATTTGCGTTTGTTTGTTCATTCTTCGAAATTCATCCTTGCCGAAAAGAAAGTACATATATGCTTTAAATTCTCTGATATACATGTAGATCAACTCATTCTTGCACTAATATTCAGATTTGGGGATGTTTTGGTGTAAAAAATTCAGCCGTATCCGTGTCATAAAAAGATATAAAAACACTCATTAAACATAAATTTTCTTTTTTTATTATTATTAGTGACTTCTTTTTTTTAAGAATCGTCGTCACTCAGCCTTGTATGCAATATTTGTACCAACTTTATTTTAGGTAACATTTGAGAGAGCTTAAGCGGGCTATGTCATGAGAGGGTGTTGCAATATTGCTGCTTTACGTCCATTCTATGCTTACGTCATCAGGAGGGTCCGGTGGGCCCTGACCCTCAAGTAGTTGAAATCATTTTTTTTATTGTCTGACTACAATTAGAAAAACAAAAAGAGTTTTTTTGACATGATATCTCGGCAACATTACAGAGACATACTTAGTCATTTAATGCAAATTCAGTAAACATGCAGCGTAATAAGCCCCTTTAACTTGTGTGTTTTGTTTTCCCAGTGGAGGTCCGAGGAGAACTTGACCCTTTGTTTTGTTTTGTTTTGTTTTGTTTTGTTTTTTTTCATAAATGATGCGTACATATGCAGGTGAATAAGACGAAATTTGAAAGGAACTTATTGCTCTCTTGAGTACTATCACATGACCCAGTGTATTGGAAAAACAAAATATACGAGCTTATCGACGCTTAGGAGTATTTATTCAACGTTTTGATATATATGTACCTTAATCACTCAGTCGTTTAAGAAGAAATACTAAAGCTTTAATTGACTTACATAATAATTTGCCTCCGTTTGCTGATCAATAACAGGATACAAAGTTATTAGGTAAAACCTCTGCAGGTGGCAGTATTTGCTTACAATTAAATACAGTGACGCCAAAGTGTTGTCGATGGTTCAATATTAAGCATATACAATATATAAAACCATTATTTGAACACTAGATATTTTTCAGTGGAAGCAATTCTCAAGAGAACACAATTGTCGAGAAGTCAGTAAGCATGAACACAACAGTAAATGGATCAAGTTTCTGGAGCTGCTCCAGTCTGATAAATCCAGAAGCACTAAAAATTGAACTAACAGTTGCTTATAGTTTTATCCTTGTTGTTTCGTTGGTTGGAAATTTTCTCATCGTATTAGTTGTTTACAAAACACCAAGTTTAAGAAAAACCGATAAATATGTTGATCGCAAATATGGCCATATCCGACCTGCTCTTTCCAATAATCTTGTTCCCGGTTCGACTGGCAGATTTGCAAGTTGGCTCGTGGCTTATCGGTGGTAACCTTGGTCAGGCCTTGTGCAAGCTACATTTTTTCGGTACATACATTTCCTCGTTAGTATCTGTTCAGAGTCTGGTTCTGACAACAGTGGATCGATTTGGAGCCATTGTAGTTCCACTTCGTTACCCCCTCATAACTAGCAAGCAGTGTCCATTCTTCATCGCTACGTGGATAATCGTAATGGCCGTTCATTCGCCATATCTTGCTGTTTCTAAATTTGTTGAATTGGCCCTGGAGGAATGAGGTGCACAAGTCAGTGGAGAGAAACCTTCGGAGCAAACGCCAATAGAAATTTTGTCTTAGTAGTTGCTATCGTGTTTTTCTACACCTCCTTTGTCTTGTTGGCGATACTTTACTCCGTCATCCTGATCAAGCTTAAAAGGCAAGCCCATCCAGGTGAGGCATCAGCCAACGCTGAGGAACAGCGGACAAGAAGAATCAGAAACGTACTGAAGATGGCTATTGCTATTAATGTAGTGTTTTTCATTTGCTGGATACCATTGTCCAGTAAGGGGATGATAATCATTTTTAGTGCACCAGAAAGTTCCATTTGGTCTTCTTGTAGTTTTTATCTGTACGATCGTATCACCTTGTCTATGGCTTTGGTAAACTGTGCTATCAACCCGATTATCTGCCTTATTGTTTGTAATAGCTATCGCCAAGCTTTAAAGAGACTTGCGAATCGCAGTAATAAAGTGCAAAATAAATTTTTTTAAGACTAGCTAGAAGCCTGTTCTGAAGCGATTCCAGAGAGAAAAAAAAAACGACAATATTTCGCAATTATTCCTCGAGCCCGGATGCCTCGAGCCCGAATTGACTCAGAGGCCATGAGGGCGAGAGGAATAATTGTTTTAGTAAAATCCAACTGGTTGGTCAAAAATATCGAGAATAAAAAACTTTTAGCTAGTTTAAGTTAGATTTTAATCCTTTTTTGCCACAAAAAAACCGGCGCTTTTCGCTACTATAAGCTATAACATACAGCCTAGTATTAGCTCAACCAATAAGAACGAAGCATTGATAGTAGACCACTAGTTGGATTTTACCAATAAATATATAGATTTAGCCAGGGCTAAAAGCGAAGCTCTCATTAATAAATTTATATTTTAAATCAAACAATAAACTTGTAATCCACAAATCAGTTAACTTAAGGGCACATTCATGTGACTTTTGAGGGAAAGGATAAGTTATTTTAGAGTGAAACATCTTACATCGAGTTGATAGCCTAAATATATGTACACCCAAAAAATAGCAAACATCTTCTATCACATTCAAGAGCCATAATCGCTCTTGATCACAGTAGATTAGGCCTCGAAAACAAATTCTTGGAAAACAAATCAGGCCGCATTTTTTTGCGTTCGACAGGTTTACTTTACAAATTCTTGCCAACAAATCTAAGGGTGTGTAAAGCAACTTTTTATACTTTTTATACTTCACATCTGAGGTGAAACAGTACTTTTTATCATACAGACCTCGGATAGAATACGGCATTTCACAATTTTTTAATGTTCAGGACGATCAATCGTGGGCTTTTAGCGAAACCGTTCAAAAAATTTCAAAAATCACTCATACGGTCAGCCGGTTCTCATTTTTAGTGCGAGCTGTCAGTGTGGTCGAGTGTTTGAAAGAACTTGAATGGAGATACGCTTCAACATAATAACGAATTTATTATCATTATTTTTTGTTATTTAATGGTTCCAGTTATAACGATGTGTAATCTTATAAAGCGTTTGATACGCGCGACATTTTTGAGTACTCCTGCAAGCGATGTTCATGAACGATGAAAACAAACACCACAGACAAGCGATTAAAATTGCAAGAGAGACTACTAACAATCAATAAGAGAAATATAATTCGGTAAAACATTTACCAAGACAACAATTTTCATCCACGAAGACAAGTATTTTAGAGACACTTTAAAAAGTGTCTCTAAAAATCCTGAGTGTTTAAGCTTAAAGCTTAAGCTTAAGTTTATTTTGTTTTACTTTCAGCCGGCCTCCCGGTGTTTGTTTTTTTTTCAAAGATGAACTCCTCGAAACAAGAAAATCACTCAAAGTTTTCTTTCTACAGCAAATTTATAACTGAATATTCTACGGAACGTTTTTTTTTCTATTTGCCGTGAGAAAATATATCTGAAGGCCATTTAAAGTTCTGTAAGCTTATATCAAACCTGATACTAGATCAGATCATTGACTCAAATCTCAACAAACGTGCGAAAACTTGCCGCATAAACTGTGCTCGACTTCATGAAATTAGATATAACAAAGACAAATATCAAATACAATAATTATTCAGGCTTACCATTCGAGATTCAGTTCCTGAAAGATATCAAGGAAGGCCATAGTTGCTTGAGACTTTTAAACCCTCTTACGCATTGAGCAAGGTGAAAGACGAAAACGATGCCATCCGAAATCAGATTACCCAATTTTGACAAGCGACGCATTTCTCAACCAAAAACCCAATAAACAAACCAGCCATGGATAACAGAAGACCCTTGATAGCAGCTGTATTTCATTTTGTACATCAAGTAGGAAAAGATTTAGACAGTTAAAAACATCACAAGTTGACACCAAACTCTGTTACTTTTTGCTGTCAAAGTAAACAACTTTCAAGATGCTGCATAAATTTTCCGCATGAACTCACCTGTCACATTTTGACCAATCAGAGTACAAAAATTGGACGTAGAGCGTGACCAACGCGTGACCATGGTAAGAAAAGGTCTTCCCCGCCTTTATTTTTAAAAAAGTGGCTGAATTTTCGCGTCCGGGGTCAGTTTGAAATCAAAATCTTGACAGTGCGGGGCCATAGCACAACATATTTCATATGAATCATTGGAAAAAAAAGACTTGAGCCTGCGATCATTTCAAACTGGTAATTTGTCAGCGGATAACTTCAAAAAAGTACTCGACCTCGATGGGTCGACACTTGAGCCCGCGGTACAATCAGGTGATACTGGTCAGTGGATATCCTGTTTTGACAGCTGTCAATTGATCACAATATTGATGTGCAATTAGTTTTCTCTTGGGCTCCCAAACTAGCTAGAAAGTGTGAGAGTAAAAATTGGTTTCCCTGTGGTGCGGACGGACGGTCGGGCGTACGGTCACGTGATTACCAAATTTTCTCGGATGGGTAGATTACCACATTTCCTTAGCTATAGGGCTCCGTCCACGCGCGCGCTTCGCGCGCGGGTGGAGCTCCGCTATTGATAACTTTACTGTAAAATGATAAGGCGAAAAGGCTGTTATTTTTTATATTCGCTAACAAAGCTTCTGGATGGTTTACCGCACAACCTGGAAAGCAAATACGAAGAAAGCAGTAATATGCAGATTTAACCAGGGCTAAAAGCGAGGCTCCCATTAATAAATTTATAATGTAAATGACACAATAAACTTGTATTCGACAATATTCAGTTAACTTTAGAGCACATTCATGTGACTTTTGAGGGAAAGGCTAGGTGATTTTAGAGAAAAATAATTTGCAGACATCTCAAAAGTGAACAAAATCTTACATCGAGTTGATTGCCTCATATGTACACCCAAAAACTGGCAATCATCTTCGACATCATATTTTAAAGCCATAATGACCCTTGATCACCGTAGATTAATTAGGCCTGGAAAAAAATCAGGCCGGGCTTTTTGCGTTCGACAAGTTTACTTTACAAAATGTTGCCAAAAAATCTGGGTACGTGTTAACCAACCTTTTATTCCAGTCCATTCATACATGACCTCTGAGGTGAAACAGTACTGTGAGGCACTGTTTTTATCATACAGACCTCGGACAGAATGCAGTATTTCACAATTTTGCAATACAAATTGCACTCATTTAATATTCAGGACCATCGAAGCATGCGTGGCCATGGGCTTTTAGCTAAACCGTTAAAAAAATTTCCAAAATCACAAATACGGCCAGACGGTTCTTTTGCAGTGCGAGATGTGGTCGAGTGTTTGAATGAACATTAACAGAGTTACGCTCCAACATAATAAAGAATTTATTATGTGTTATTTTTTGTTTAATGGTTTTATTGATGTGAAATCTTCAAAAGCGTTTGATAGGCGCGGCATTTTGAGTACTCTTGCAAGCGATGTTCACTGAACGACTGAAAACAAACGGCACAGCGATTAAAAGTTACAAAAGAGACTACTAACAATCAACAAAAGAAATATAATTCGGTGAAACATATACAGAGACAACAATTTTCATTCACGAAGACAAGTATTAAAGTGTCTCTAAAAATCCTGAGTCTTCAAGCCTAGTATTTTTAAGCTTAAGTTTATGTTTTAAGCGGGTTTTCCTGATGTTAATGCTTTTTTTCAAAGATGAACTCGGGGGCAAGAAAATCGCTTAAGGCTTTCTTTTACAACCAAGATTATAACTAACTATGCTTTGGAACGTTTTCTTTTTATTTGCGGTGAGAAAATGTCTAAAGGCTTTTTAAAGTTCTGTAAGCTTATATGAAACCTGATACTCGGTCAGATCATTGTCTAAAAAAAAAAACAAAATAAAAGTGGGTAAACTAAATAGCCGCATAAACTACGCTCGACTTCATTAAATTAGATACAAAAACAAACATCAAATACAATAATTACTCAGGATTACCATTCGAGATGCAGCTCCTGTCCTCCTGAAAGATATCAAGTAAAGCCAGTATCGCTTCAGACTTTTCAACCCTCTTACGCATCAAGCAAGGTAAAAAACGAAAACAGTGCCATCCGAAATTTGACAAATGACGTATTACTCAACCAAAAACCCAATGAACAAACTAGCCATGAACGGAAAGTTTGCTGCGTGAGGGTTGCTCTAGTCGCAGATGGAAATGCAAAGTTGTATCGTTATATCAAGTTAAGCACTAGTTAACAGAGAATTGACTTTACACCGTCTGCGCCAATATCAAATAGAGGCTAAAAGTCAGTGAAAGTTATCTTAGGGAGAAAGTGAACGTTAGCTCGGGGAAAAATATTTTTTTTTTCAGATGTTTTTAGTAATTTAACTACGAACCGGTGTGCGCCATCAATGTTAATGTTCACGCAGATCATAACTATGCGTGGCGTTTTTCTAGAAATGAGTACGTAATATTCATCAATAGACCCCTTGGCGTTGAGACAAATGCAAAATTTCTCATAGAGACATGTAGCACTAGTGTGAAGGTCTCTAATGTCTCTTTCTGTTTACTCATATTTCATTCGGAAAGAATCGATCATTGGATAGGGAATTATTTTATGGTCAACGAGGCACGTATAGGCAAGTATCCAACGCGAGCTCTCGCGGAATAATTGCTGATTATTGTGTATTAAATTCAATGCAACATCAAAAGGATATATAATGATAGCATCATTATTGCCACTTCTTTCTGGTCAAGAATAATATTTGCATTTTCTTTATTTTAGGTACCATCTGAGAGAACTTGAAGGGGCCACGTCATGAGGATATTGCTGTTCTAGGTCAATTTCTGTGCTTAACTATAAGAAAATATCGTAACATAAACGCTGGCTTTAAAACCAATACTCGGGGGCCAGACTAGGGGAGCTGATTCAAGCTAACTAAAGATGTTTAATTAAACCATGTTTTAAAAAATTAAAACGGACACGACTGAAAAACAGGAACACATGTCTTTTTTTTTTACACGGGATGCGGTCAGTAGTAAAATTCAACGCGTTTTGTAATTTGCAATAACGTTTCCATCAACATAAGGTGTTTTATGAAGGAAAAAATCTTTATACCGTGTTTGACTAAACAGCTTTAATTTTAAACATAGACCGATCAATATGAAAAACTTTGAAAATAAAATCGAGGAAACAAAGCAATCAATTGTTTCTAAAACTTAGCTTTATCTGGTAAGCTATCTTTCCCTTAACTTTTTTTTTTAATGAAAAAACAAAGGTTGGTTTTCAGTTGAGGTCTTAATAAAAGGATTTTTCTTTTTAATTTGGTGGATCTTACTTTAAGCAAACGTCTTTTTCAAATGCATAGGATAGGATGTAAATAGCGCGTTTTCAAACGGGAAGACGAAGTTGCATCCTTACAGAAAGTTGGCAGTTAATACAAATTTGACTTTACACCATTTGCTTCATTAACAAATAGAGGCGAAAGTTAAATGTTTATTTAACAATTAGTTCGTGCGTCAGCGTGCGTATGTCAAGATATCACTGAGGCATACGGGAAGTTTGGGGCGTGAGAGTTGCTCTAGTCGCAAATGGAAAGGCAAAGCTGTATCGTTATATCAAGTTATACGAACTAGTTACAGAATTGACGAATTACACCGTCTAGCACTGATAGACCAGAGGCACTGGACAGATACATCAATATCAAATAGAGGCAAAATTCAGTGAAAGTTAGCTTAGGGAGAAAGTGGAACTTAGCTCAGCTCAGGGAATAAACAAATTTTCAGACGTTTTTAGTAAATTTACTACGAACAGGTGTGCCACCATAAATGTTAATGGTCACGCCGATCATAACTATATATTAGTAACCTTTTCTTGAAATGAATATTCATCAATAGGTCCGTTAATGTGCCGTTGACGCAAATGCAAACGTTTTGATATTGATATGTGGCACTAATGTGGAAGTCTCTAATGTCTCATTCGGTTTATTCATATTCTCATATTTTATTCGAAAAGAATCGGTCATTGATATTTTATGGGTGTTTTTAATAAAACAATCATTCCACTCCCGCGTCCTGGATATGGGATATTTTGTATTGGCCAACGAGACATCACTACAGGCAAGTATCCAACGCGCGCTCTCGTGGAATAATTGTTGACTATTGAGTATTCAATTCAATGCAACATAAAATGGATCTGTAATGATAGCATGATTATTGCCACTTCCTTTTGGTCAGGAATAATATTTGCATTTTCCTTATTTTAGGTACCATCTGAGAGAGCTTGAAGGGGCTACGTCATGAGGATATTGCTGTTCTAGGTCAATTTCTGTGCTTAACTATAAGAAAATATCATGACATAAATCCCGGCTTTAAAACCAATCCTGAGGGGCCAGGCTAGGGGAGCCCTCAGGCAGAACAATCGTGAAGCGAAGTAGTTGAAAATGAATAAAACGAGACCGAGAATGTTTACCATTGTATAAAAACCATGTTGCTGTTCACAAGGAAATGGGCAGCCTCTATCAACGCCTATTGGAAGAATTTATTCAACATTCTGATATGGATCTAGCTATTGAATTTAGATTGACAGTTAGATTAAACTATTATAGCTTTACTTACATAATAATTGGCAGAATATAAAGGACAAAGAACCGCCAGAAAGTGTTTTCAGGCGAAAAGACCTGCCGAAGAACCAGTAAGCATAAACACAACAGCAAATGGATTCGAGCTGCTCCAGGCTGATAAATCCAGAGGCACTGAAAGTTGGAGCAACAGTTGCTTATAGTTTTCTCCTTGTAGTCTCCCTGGTTGGAAATTCTCTCATCGTATTGATTGTTTACAAAACACCAACTTTGAGAAAACCGATAAATGTGTTGATCGCAAACATGGCCATGTCCGACCTGCTCTTTCCAATATTCCTGATCCCTGGGCGACTGACAGAGTTGCACGTTGGCTCGTTGCTAATTGGTGGTACCCTTGGTCAGGCCTTGTGCAAGATATGCCCTTTTTTGTTGATATTTCCTCGGTAGTCTCGATTCAGAGCCTGGTTCTGATAACAGTGGATCGATATGCAGCTGTTGTAGTTCCACTCCGTTCACCCCTCATCAGTCGCAAGGTGTGTCGCTGTTTGATTGTTGGTACATGGATACTCGCAGCGGCCGTTTATTCGCCATATTTGTTTACCTTCAGTCTTGTTGAATACCAAGAAGAAAAGTGGTGCGAGAGTCAGTGGGAGGTGACCTTCGGCGAGAAAAGCTCACTTGGTATTTACATCCTATCACTTGTTGCCTTGTTCTTCTACATCCCTTTTGTCGTCTTGGCGATACTTTACTCCATCATCCTGATCAAGCTTAAAAAACAAGCCCATCCAGGTGAACAGTCAGCCAGCGCTGAGAAACAGAGGACAAGAAGAAACAGAAACGTGCTTAAGATGAGCGTTGCTATCGTTGTAGCGTTTTTCATTTGCTGGATACCCCTTTCCTTTCACGCATTAATATTTTATTTAGTACCAAGAAAGACTTGGGATTTTTGTAAGTTTTTAGTATCTTATAATGTCGCCATGTTTATGGCTTGCACAAACTGTGCTATCAACCCGATTATCTGCCTTACCTTTACCAGTAACTATCGCCAAGCTCTTAGGAAACTTGTGAATTGCTGTGATGCAGTGCAAGGTTAAGTGAAATCTAGGCCTGATCGAAGTGATTCTTCAAAAAAAGCGACCAATATTGATAACTTTACTGTAAAAATTAAATTATACCGAAAATTTAATGGAGCATGCAATCTCTCTTAGGACGGCTGTAATACCCCGGAGAAATGGAGTTGGTGGCTGGGGGGGAAATAAGGTGCATTATGGGAGATGTGCAAGTGGCGAATAAGAGATTTACCGAGCGCCGGTAAACTGTTTGAAATGCGGGTTACCCTTAACTCGAAGCCAAGTATGAAATTCAGTTGCTACCTTCCACGCTTCTCTTTTTGAGGAAAAATGTTAAGAGTGCTTTTGTCTCTGTTTCAGCGGTAGGTTTTTCTGTGGAATGCCTTATTTTCCTATATCGTTTATATGCTGAGTCTATTGTCACTGCATGGCGAAGTGATCCGCCACTTGTTTGTTTGTTTGTTTTTCTTCTTATTGTGAAAACTTGCCGGCGTAAAGAAATGGAGCCATTATTTCCTTTTACTTGCAAACATTCTGCTCCCTAGACCAGTATTTGGAATATATTTTAGCGGAGCTCTGGCGCGCCTGCGGAGCACCATGGGTAAGTAAATCTACCCATCCCAGAAAATTTGGTAATCACGTGACCGTACACCGCCCTCAGCCCGTCCGCCCGTCCGTCCGCACCACAGGGCAACCAGTGTTCAATATCACACTTTCTAGCTAGTTTGGGAGCACAGGAAGACTGATATTGTAGACATATTGCACATCAATCTTGTGATCAATTGACAGCTGTCAAAACAGGGTGTCCGCTGACTAGTATCACCTGATCGTATCGCGGGCTCAGGTGTCGACACATCGAGGTCGAGTATCTTTTTGAAGTTATCCGCTGACAAGTTACTAGTTTTCAAATGATTGCAGGCTCAAGTTTAATTTTTCAATTCATATGAATTATGTTGTGTTTTATATGTGCCGCACAATTAAAATTTTGATTTCAAACGGACCTCGGAAGCTAAAAATTAAGCCAGTTTTTACAGGCAGGGAGGACATGCTAGTTGCTTTTGACTTTTCTCACCAAGGTCACGCGTTGGTCACGCTCTACGTCCAATTTTTATACTCTGATTGGTCAAAATTTGACAGGTGAGTTCACGCGGAAAATTTATGCAGCATCTTGAAACTTGTTTACTTTGACTGCTGAAGCTGACAGAGTTTTGTGTCAACTTGTGATGTTTTTAACTGT